ATTATACTTGTGCGATGTAGGCTTCCATACTATTTGAGTGCAGCGCCGGTAGCGCCATCTCTTGAAGATGGCAAGTGATTAATTCCTCTATGTTAGTTACAGTTTGTCTATAAAGTCGTGACATTAAATGATGGCGCCACTAGTATGCATGTAGCAACCCTATACAGTCGGACCAAAATGATTTTGATACTAGCAGTTCATTCAAGTCAAATAGGTAATTAATAAGACACACTATACAGTCGTATTTTGTTTCTGTTTTATATATAGTAGGTACCTATGCTTATAAAAAGTTTAGCCAAGCATATTTAATTGAATCAGAATAAAATTATTATAGATAATATACTACACTAGTAGTGTAAAAGTGTGTAATGTTGGTGATTACCACTGAGGTGCCATTGAGACCAGAGCCGTTAGGTAATCATCAATACACACAAGTATCATCATACGACGTTTTTTAACACACTTGGAAAATAATACTAAAAATTATTTTATAGTATATAAAAAGTTTATTTAGAGAAACAATTTGTAAATGTGCAGTTAGTAAAATTAGTGATAGGTATCTTCACTAAAAGCATCTGGCCATGGTTCTTTATGTGACCATTTCTTTCTTTGGTCGGCCTTGCCTGTTTTCCCAGGAGTTTCAAACTTTCCATCATTCTTAAAATCTTCGTTGACTATCCGACTCTCTGATATTCCTGAAAAAAGTTAAAAAAATAAGTAACGGAAAAGAAACAATAACTTATTGACATGAAGCAATTAATTCAAAATTGGTAGAAAACCTGACCGAGTTGACCCATAATAACGTATCAAAAGAAATGGTCGTACTACAATATTACCTTTTTACATGTCAATCTAACCTAAAAATGTGCAATGTTAACAATGCCTTTTTTGGTCCCAAAATCGCAAACAAATAGTTACACGATTACATACCCGTCATAGATGCTGTTCGCCCATAAACATCATCCAAATCCCACAAAATTCGTCCAGCTTGGCAGTCTTCGAAACATAGCTGGAAAACTTTAAAAATCACTTCCCGCGTGCCACTCCGATTTTACTCATTTTCATACCTTTCTGCGTAGTTTCGTCTTAATTTATTACAGTTTAATCCAAACAATAAAAAATTCCAGGTCGGGATGATGCCGTCGGGTGCTGCCGAAGGTCCAGGAAGCGTCGCTCGTTTGAGAGCTGCGATGGAACCTTGAGGCTGTTGCTGGCTTGATGTGTGACTGCTGATGTTGCTTGACCTGATGAGGAAGGGGCATGAGGATTGATGGTTGCGCTGCGACGGTAGAAGGTTGCTTGCTGCTGCTGTGCTCAGTAGAGGGTCACCAGTGTAGGAAGGCCAAAGGGGGAGATCTTACTTCGAGCTGGGTCATGGTTGCTCAGGGGCCGCGGTCCGACTGATGTTGGTCGGGCATTACATATATGAACTGTTGGCCGCCGAATTTCACTTGTGCGATGTAGGCTTCCATACTATTTAAGTGCAGCGCCGGTAGCGCCATCTCTTGAAGAGGCGAGTGATAAATTCCTCTATTATTGGAACACGTGGAGTAAAACAACAGTTCATAATTTTGACGAGATTTATTGCGAAAGGTTTTACTCTGTTAACAAAACTATAATATTTTTACAGCTACGTTTATAGAAGATACATAATAATTATTTAATCGTACTTACTTTCAACAGTTTGGTGATCCTTTTACACTTTTAAGTATTGTAACAGTATAACTTTACGAGACGACCGTCCGACACCATGTCACTCGAGAGCACTCGAGAGAATGACTCGCCGATGGCTGAGCGAAAGGAATGTCACTGCACCGCGTGAGCGAACGCAAAGGTTATAAGCATTCTGCCAACCATAGACTAATTTTACACTTGACAAAAGAAGATAATCATATTATAAATATAAATCAAGTATGAATCAATAAATATATTGTAATACCTTACACTATGTTGGTTTTATGTGGGGCATAAAGATGTCGCCGCCACAGGACAACATCTATTTTTCATCCCCCTAATGTTATCACAAAAATTTGATTTTATTTTTTTATGCATACAAAAATACATACAACCCTCAATTTTCACCCTTCTATCACCAACTCTCATTTTTTAATGGCGGTACGAAGTTCGCTGGGACAGCTAGTATAATACGTCAATAAATATGCCTTGGAAAGTTATTCGAGGGTTCACGATTGCAAATAATTCATCGAATGTGTCATCGAAAAAACATTCGGAAATAGTTGAAAATTTATTGGGATAAAGCCTCAAGTCTTCATAGAGCGACACAAACTATCCTTTTAAATATCTTAGTTCATTATGGGGATGTACCAACGATATTAAATAATATTACTAACGATAACATATAAATAAATCAATGCCAACTTAAAGAAAAAACACTTGTTAATTTTCTGTCTCTGAGTTGGTACTATTGCACGCATCACACGAAAGCATTACTTTTGAGAGTGCTCGATTGTGCGAAGCGTTGCTGTAGTTGAAACACTCGACGTTAAGCATTATGCCGCATAATGCCCTATAATGCTGTAATTGGAAAGCTACCACAATGGCTTAGGCTCGGTTCGCACGAGAGTTTAAAAAGCGTCGCGTTAACACCCAAAGTTGGCGCTTTTTTGCTAACGTTCCCAACAGTTGTGTTCATATGATCGCTTAAAAATCAGTGTGCATAGTACTCGCTGCACTGTGCACGTATAGTTAATTATATGAATCCAAATCCAATATATTGGCAAAAGCCATTTATGTTGCGAGAAGGCAAAAAAGGAAAAAGAAATCCGATTGGGTACATCCCAACGATATTAAATACCCTAGTTACACCACGAGCGCTCAAAATGTTTCCCAATCAAGAAGTGCTTGAACTCCACTCAAGTACTTCCTGGTTCACAGTCACGCGCGGACCGTTACAAAGTCAAGATGCCACAGAGCTCCGCGAAAAAATGAGAAAATAAGTACGAAAAGTGTCGTTTTTCGACAAGTATCTAGTCAATGTTTATAATTTAACGCATTTGAAGTAAATTTTCATCTAATACTTACTATAAACTGATTTAAAATAAAATATTTGTGATATTCATGGTCGCTTATACGTTGCCATATAGCCGTCTCTTTTCCTCGCGGTCCGTGCCTGCTATATTGCTAACAGCGCGTTCAGAATTGTGCGTAGAGTCAAAGAACTAAGGTCTAAATTCTTCCGCATATAGCAATAAGTCGTAAATTTTACGAGCTTGCATTTCGAACTGTCAGAACAAAGAGTAAAGTAAGTATTGTCAGAAGTCCTTGATGCATGCGTTTTATTTAAGACCTTATACAATATGTATTAAAGGTTACTTTCAATATTTAAATAATGCCTTATATTGATTTTGACTACGCGATCATCTTACGGAGCTCCGTGAATCGTTGAATGTACCTTTTGGACAAGTTTCGAATACGATTTTGTTCGTGTTGATGTATCTAGGTTATTTATTGTTGAAAAATTATTAAAACTTTCGTTTCATTATAGTGTTTTTTAAATAATCAAAGTTAATTCAAACTGTATTAAAAAATAAATATAAATATGGATGAAGGTACAAACATTGACTTTTTTTTGTCAACACTGAACTTAGCGCACTCTGCTGGTGCATTTGAAAACTAATTCGCGTTCCAATTAAGCATCAGCATAATTCGGCATTGTGCGCCACTGAATCGCATTATGCTCTGTAAATTCTGTAATAGGCTAGTTGACTCATGTCGAATTGTATTAAATAAATGTTATTTCTTAAAGTATTTGGTCTAAGGAACCTGAAAGCGAAAAAGCTTGTGAAAGCAGAAAGCACAAATCTGCCAAGAATTGACGCATTGATGGTTGGTGAATTTTTTGTACTAAACCCCGATTTCTGCTCTGCAGAGCAGAGAAACGACAAGCCATCTATGTAAGTACAGTGCATTTAGTATTACTCTGGTATCGATTCTGGCATGATTCTCTAAACCTAAACTTTTTGACAACAGTGTAACCTTGTCATTCTCTACATAGAATGAAAGGGAGAGACTGATGTTGAATTTAGTTTTAAGTTTAGAGACTCGTGCCAGAATTTACACCAATGTAGTAATAAACATAAAACTGATACAACATATGAATAAGTGTAATAAAGTTGCGTAGGTTAATTCTTTCGGCACTTTAATCCACAACTTTCCTGGAGTCTTCAAGGATGTGTTTTTATATTCTCGTACAATACAATAGTGATAATTACTTTATTTTACGTGGGTTTTCATGTTTTTTTCATTATAAACTCAGATAGGTTATTTTCTACGTGTTTACGAGTTTTTATTTACTACAGGTTGACGTCATAGCATAGATAATCTACAGACTAAAATGGCCGACAGCGTTTTTGTATGTCCATGAAAAGTCTATTTTAAAATTAAAGATTTGTAGCTTTCTAGGTCTCAAAAAAATACAATACATTTTTTTCGGTCTAATAGAACATTTATTAACCATTTAAAACCTTTTTCCAAAAAGGGTCAACTAGCCTATTGGAAAACCACCTGTCATACTACTTACTGAAAGGCCGAACGAAAAGGAGAAATCATAGCCTAAAAAAATAACAAAAATTACTTCGTGTCACAGAACTCTAATCAAAACAGATTGATTTAATTTATTTATCAGATTTTAAATAATTAGTTTGTGCTGAAAAATAATTTATTATATCTTCTGCTAGGTAATAAATACTGAAAAGTTATTTAAAATTCTTCATTCGCACCTAACCTTTTTTGTTTCGCGCACGATTAAGAGATCTGATTGGGATTGAAAATTTGTTGTTATAGTCCCACTTTTAAATCAATGATGTTGTATTTATAAGTCATTACTGATATCGAAATAATTCTCGGTTTTCAGGTTTATTTTGAAAATGGATGCTGCTAGTCAGGTTGTAAGGAACGACAAAAAAGACTTGGAGGAAGACCGATTGCTTCTGAAGCCTAGTAAATCAGGTGTTAAATGTGATATAGTCAATGAATGTCAGATGTTCATTAGGGCTGAAGACGGTGGTGGTGATGCACACGTCAGCTTAACAGGTACTAGGATTGAGGGTACAGAATGTTATCTGCCTTTTACACAATTAAGAAAATTTCTTATCTCCATCAATTTTCCTGATTATCATAATAATAATATATAAATATTTTGAACACATACCAATAATAAAATAATTATTTATTTGAAGAACTATTTGATTGAAATGAGTTAGTTTGACAACCTGGGGTATAGTTGTAATGAAAACATACCCTTTATTTGCTGAATAATAAAAAAAATATGCAACTATATTGTGATATTCACTAGATGAATAACAAAGTACACTTTATGGTTATACTTGATACTTGTTAATCTAATTAGGGCTCTAACAGTTTAATCTACAGCAGAGATATGGCTTCTTGTTCCCAGTGAATTCATTGTAATTGTTTCTTGTAATACATTAGCAGTTTTTATTAAACTTATTATGTTGTTCAAAAGGAAAAATACTAGATCAAAAAGTATATAAATACTTAGTTACTTATTTCTTGCATAAATACCAGTGTCCTAGGAACAGTTATTTAACTTTTGTGTTATTTACCTACCAAGAAACACTTGGTAGGTATTTGATTAGTTAACTTATTAAATTTAATATCCAATTACAACCTTTTCAGAAAAACCAAAATTTGTTACTTCTACTCCAGACCAAAAAAAAGAAACTCCATCTGATAATCAAATAGCTGATTCAAATCCAGAATGTGACATCGAAGGTATAATTAATTTAATTATTCTAGTGATTTAGGAGTTCAAAAGTCCATATCTGATTTTTAAATGAGTTAATACTACTGGTATTGATTATGTGTATGAAATTATTTTAGGAAGTGATAATAATCAGAAATAATTCATTATGGTAATTACCCAAGTATAGAAGTGCATTATATATAGAGAACTCTATGAATAGGTATTTCTTAATGAGAATTGGTTACCTAATGACTTATTTCTAAAATGGCATAAACATATTTTTTACAGGAGTACCGGATTTACCTTTGGATGAGGGTTTACCCAGCACTGTTACAGTACTTGATGCACCTGATGGTGGTAAAGTGTATTTGGTTGGCACTGCTCATTTTAGCTTACAGTCACAGGAGGATGTTTCTCGGGTAAATAATATTTATTTTTAACAGGTTTTCCTTATTTCTTGAGTCTTCAGACACAAGTTTTTTTGAAGTGAAAACTTCTTTAGTATCATTGTGACTTCAGATTGCATGAAACAGAAGTAGAGTATTTGATACAAGATAGGCATCCATAATTTTATCATTTACTACAAGACAGATAGCCAAACGGTAACAGTCTTGGGGTTGACTCCAAATGATCAGTGGTTCGATCCTGAGCTCAGTTTTTTTTTTAATTGTTGTAATCATTATTTTTTTTTTATTAAGCCATTATTTATTTTTCGAAACAATTTAAGTAGTGAATTAAATTTGCCTAGTATTTTACAATACCTTGTCATATAAAAAATAAAGGTTAAGACAAAAATTGTTTTAAAGCAATGTGGATAGGTCGAAATAAAATTAAATATGTACTCGGGCCCAGACATACCTACCGAAATTTTAAATGCAAAATCCAAACTCTCTTCGTGTTGTTTATATATTGAAATATCAAACAATTGGCTAAATATTTTTCTTTAATTTAGAAACTAGGTCCAGTTATAAAACCCCTACCTGAATTTTTTCATAATCAAATAATTGTGACATTTTACACAAAGTGAGTTCGGATTTTGCTTCAACCCTTGCGATTAATAGTTCAATGCCCTTCCGGCGTGTCTTTGGGGGTGGGTCTGGCGCCGGAGTACTTTTTAAATTTTAATTAAACCTATCCATATTACTTTAAAATAATTTTTGTCCTAACCTTTAATTTTTAATATGACACAATCTATACTAATATTAATAAGAGGTAAGATTTGATTGTTTGTATTGAATAGGCTCTGAAACTACTGAAGCGATTTGAAACATTCATTCACGTTTAGAATCCTACGTTATCGCTGATAAACATAGGCAATACAGTATTTTCAAAAAAGTTAGGGTACCATATGAAAACTTTGATAATGTAACCCAATGTTTGAAAAAAATACAAAAAAAATATATTATATCGCGTACGCTGCGGAAGTCATAGGGTGCGGCCAGAGTGCACTCAGATTCAGATTCAGATTTCGAAAACAAGCGCGAGAAATAAACAGTGTAGTCGAAGGGTACGGCCAGAGTGCACTCCTGATTCAGATTCAGATTCAGACTCAGAAAACAAAGCGCGAGAAAAAGCCGGCAACTTGCTTAGACTACACTGTTTATTTCTCGCGCTTGTTTTCGAAATCTGAATCTGAGTCTGAATCTGAGTGCACTCTGGCCGTACCCATAGGGTACGGCCAGAGTGCACTCAGATTCAGATTCAGACTCAGAAAACAAGCGCGAGAAATATACAGTGTAGTTTAAGCAGGTTGCCTGCTGCCACTACTATGGCCACCCTGCTTTGTGGTTGTACCCATAGACAATAGAGCAAGTGATGTACTAAAGTTTTATAGAGGACAACATAGCCACAAAAAAGTTCGGAATACCGTATGTCTAACTATTGCAGTTATTAAGAACTAGAAATCCTCTGCGGTTTCACCCGCGTTAATTTAAGGAAAAAGGTTATAGTGAGTCAGACTTGGACATATGCTGTCGCGGACATTTTTTATAGAACTTTTGAAGGGGAACAATTCCGTCATACATGATTTTTGTATATCTTGAACCTTTTACTCAGCGCACGCAACGAAAGCTCACAAATGAAATATTTTTACCCGTTTTTGCAACATTTTCATTGATGCTCCGCTCTTTCTGGTCCTAGCGTAATTTTATATATTAGGCTATAGGCTATAGGCACGGTAATATTATCTATACAGTATTGTGACTCCGCCCTGTTCTTGAAATAAATGCCTACGGCCGAGCGCTGCGTTAGCACGCGGTAGGGCCGCCCGCCTACAGTATTTTAATTTCATCTACATAATTGAGTTTCTTTCTAGTTTTGTGATTGTAAATATTTTATTTTATATGGAAAGATTCTCCGCAAGCCCATATACCCATATCGTAGGAATGCATTAAAAATAACTATTGGATTAGCCATGTTGGATTTAGAATGACATCATACAGCTAACCGTGCTTTTTAATCATAACGTGTATATACAAAATTTCAGCTCAACTGGTTGAAGATATCTGCTTCAAAATTGAGTTTCAAGATTCCACCCCAACAAACAAAGTTATATACCTACCTATATTGCAAGTTAATTAAAAGCTTGTAAAAAACCCGACTGCTGATTTTTATTCTTACATAAATCGAAATACCTAAATATTAAAAACAAATTACGTACTAGTAGATAGGTATATAAAAAAATATTCTATAGTCTTACCTTTCCGATATTTCATGTAATTTAAAAAATTATATCTCTGGGTGCGTTATATATAAAAGAGTTAAAGAGTTATACTAAAGAGTATACTTATATTAAAGAGTTCAAGCAACCAAAAACAGCACAATATCGTCGTTTGTTCATTGCCATATTAAATTATATAGGTATCTACTTAATTCAATCAAATATTTACAATACAGATCGCACGTTTAAGCACGGCTAACTGCATAAAAAACAATTCATACCGTTCGGTTTTCGCTGCGGCGCCTTCGCGACTAGGTGCCCGCCGAGATTCCACCGAACCCGAGTGGCGTAGGTATGATTCGCTTTCCGACCGTTTGTATGAAGATAGAATACTGTATATATTATTACCATGCTATAGGTAGCCTTCCTTGATAAATGCACTATCCAACGCAAAAGTATATTTTCTAATCGGATAAGTATTTTCTGAGATTTGCGCGTTCAACCCCCAAAAAATAAACAATATGGTCGAACCAAACTTATGAAACGCGACACGCCACGTCACGCGTGTTGAGTCAAATCAAAATGTACTAATGTCTATGATCAGAATCACATTGAACATCCGACGCAACGATAAGTGCAATAATTATGAGTGATAAAAGTGATGGGTGTGTACAATCCATTGCGTCAATTGATACATTTATTAATAAGGGCATGTACCAATGGCAAGGAGGACACACTTTTTTTAAAGCAGAGCAATGGTGCATTTTATACAACAGGTCCATAAGTACGCAACAAAATTTACACTATCAGTTAAATAAAATAAATCGTATCAGTTAAATAATAAATAAATCTTCACGCAAGGTTTATAATTATATGAAGAAAGTCATTGTGAATAATACGAGCCTGAGAACAATAACTTTAGTCTACACTCTGTAGTGTAGAGCTGTCTCTACACCGAAGCGAGGCGAGGGCGGGCCACTAGTTTAGGTATAAAATATTTAATTTTGACGACTAGAGAGTTGATTTTTTTTAAGTCTCCTTTTTTTCCTGCGATCTGTCTTGTCGACATTAAGCTGGTTTTTATGAATTTGGAATAAAAATGTCGTGCATGGTACATGATCCAATGATATACCCATCTATTTTGACTTTTCTGTGTTTGTGTTAGAGAAGATCTTGAGGAGCACGTCTCTTTAGTCTCTTAAATGTATTGTTTGGTTTCTTTTCCATGGAAGTTCTTGCTAGTGGGTTAGGATGATTTTGTATTCTTTTGGAATAGGAAAGTAAAGAGCAGTGGCGGACTAAGCTCATCAGAGGCCCGGGGCGTGGCGACAAAGCCCCCCAGCTTTAAAAAAAATGTAGTTTCTTAGTTTGTTTTGTTAAAATATGGCAAGTGCAACAATTAAGTTATTTCGGCTAAATAAACATACATACCTGCAATATGGTACATATTGACTAGAAACGTAGGTGCAAAATTATACGAAGAATTACTTACATTTTCCAATTACTTAAAAATGCACTAACTCAACTCTTAAAGTCATTTACTTTTATACCGTAACAAAAATCAAAAATACTATTAGGTACACTTTTTAATGAGGTTACTTTGAACTGATTTTAAATGAGGCCAATGTTTATTTTTCGACGTAAATTATTTGTACTTCATTCATTCAGGGATACCTAAGGAAGTATCCGCTACAGAGTCGGGAATTCCCCCAGCGTATTGGACGCGTTCAGCGAAGTTAAAAGAAAATTAGTACCGCGTAAAAAGTCTAGATGGCTGTAGTGTTTAGATCTTGATGAAATTATGTAGGTACTAAGCACATTTTTAAAGTCTAGTTTAGGATTTGATCAGGAGAACGCGGAGGCATTTGGGGACCCTCAACATCGGAGGCCCGGGGCGGGCCGCCCCTTCCGCCCCCCTGTTAGTCCGCCACTGGTAAAGAGTCCTTTATTTCTTCTCTAACAGGTTTGATTTTTAGATCACGGTGCAAGTGATTATTTGTCATATACCATGGTGCTCCAGTTATCATCCGTAGGGCTTTTGATTGAAAACGTTGAAGTATCTCTATGTTGGATACAGAGGCTGTGCCCCATAATTGTAGGCCATAAGTCCAGACCGGCTTTAGTATACACTTGTACAGAAGGAGTTTATTTTCCAGAGAAACTTGAGATTTTCTTCCCATGAGCCAATAAAGCTTTCTTAACTGTAAGTCCAGTGCTTTCCTTTTAGTAGATATATGTTTCTTCCAGGTTAAACGTCTATCCAAGTAGATTCCTAGGTATCGAACTTCATCTGCCTGGGGTATCTTAATTTGGTTTAAGAAAAAGTGACATGAACTGATTTGGTTTCATTTGCCTTTATGCGCCAGTCTTTCAGCCAGTCTGAGATATCATTCAAATTTTGTTGCAATTTTGCCGAAGCTTCCTCAGGTGTTTTATCAACAGCAAGTATGGCAGTATCATCAGCAAATGTTCCTGTCATTATATCTTGTCTAGAGAGTTGAATTTGAACACAGGTGTTGTCTTTAAGGACTTTTACTTGTTCACTTTTTTGTAGGTTTCACCACTTCTATCGCATGTGAACAATACATGTCCGTTTTAATATATATTTATTTTTCAGGTAATACAAGAAGTAAATCCTCATATTGTGGTGGTTGAACTTTGTGAACAGAGAACTAATATATTATTGCTAGATGAAGAGATAATCCTAAGAGAAGCTAAAAATATCAACATTAAAATGATAAGGTTTGTAAACTCTTCAATATCTTATTGTAATATATATAAAATTAATTGCACAATGTTTCAATATGTTAGCTTCAGTTTATAATTGATTAGCCTGAGACCTATCTACAATAGCGTAGAAGGATGTTTCACATGATAGAATGTTTAACATCTGCAACCATACTCCATTTACACAATTAATATCATTTTATTAACAAAATTATTTTTGTTTTAAAATAACTTTTTAAAACCAATATATGCTATGTCCAATTTGTAAGATTTCGAATTCTTATCATTCTGAGTACAGTATCTAAGTCTCTAGTATACTAACTTATTCGCGAATATAAATATTGCTATGCGAATCTTTAGTGATTACTTTATGTGCAATGATCTAATAAACGGTCCTTTGTAATGATTTAGACACTCAATACGCTCGTTAGAATTAATGCGCGTAGAGTTTCTATGCCTAAGTTCGTGATCGCGCATCAATGAAGTTCAGATAGCAAGCGGTAACACACGACTCATACATTTTTCGCTGTCCCATACTTTTGCATGCAGCAAGTCCCAAGGATCAACGGAACAGTCCGTTACTTGACTATATGAACTCAATACGCGCGTAAGCCCGCGTTCACGCGCGTATTAAGCGTCCTATAGGCGCGTCTACACAGAGCGAGCAGCCTCGCGAGGCAGCTCGGTTAGTGTAGACGTGTTTCGGCTGAGGCAAGCGCACGCGCTGCCGCGGGCGAGCGACCGAGCGCCCGAGCCATCAAGTGTCTGTTTTTTGTTTTGCTCAAAGGCGCCTCAGTCGTTTGCTGCGCGCACTCTGGACGCTCGAGTATTTTGTTTCGTACCTCGTTCGAGCATAATAATTATGAATAAAGATCAGTGTTTGAAATTAATATCTCTCTATGTGTACGAGCCAGTGTGACCACGTACACCTTTTAGATGTTGATAGATGATAGTTGTTTGTAATCCGCAGGTAAAGAAGTCACCAAAGTTAGATATGTATATTTATTGCAGCCGAACGTAAATACAGATAAAATAGTTAGTAGGAGATTCTTTGCTTGACTGTTTCGAATGCGCGCCCTTAACGTACTCGTATAATTAATATATAACTAGCAAACCAGTGAACCAAATGTTCACCAAAACCTGATTTAAAAAAAAATGTATTTAATTAATTGAGAACTTCGGAGATTTCGTGTGGTTTCGTTTGAAATTCGTGATTTCTCGAAAACTTAGTAGTCTTATCAGACTATTCTTAACTTATAACTTAAACATTCTCTTTATCTATCTCTTACGGTTTGGCCGCTGAAACAGCACGACAGACAGACGGACGGACGGACTTGTCTAATAGATAAGAGATATCAATAAAATTAACTATTATGACGCGTGACCCAAAGTAGGTCGCTATGTCAGCTCAGTATGTGCGGTGATGAGACCGTACACTATGATGTAAACACCTGGCTATGGATTGCAAGTGATCCTAATTTTACAAATAGAGGGCTTAGGGAAGATGCCTGGTTAAATATTAGCCGGTTCCTGATTTAAAAAAGAAAATGGAGTCATTGATAGGATCTTTCAGGCGGGAAAAATCACGAGAAAAGAAAAGACGACAAGTCTCTTTATTATAATCCTATTTATAAGGATAAAAGCAACAGCTGTCACCGCAACACCATGATATCTGAATTCTCAACTGAACGAACGAACAAAATGGCTCGGGCTTGTCGCGCTCGTTCGGGCAGTTTCCTCGCGCGGCAAATGCCTCGCGAGGCTGCTCGCTCTGTGTAGACGCGCCTTATGACGGAGCAGCTACTATCGCGGGCTGCAAGTGAACGCGCTATAACGCGTGTTCTTCTAACTTAACGGTCCTATGTTATGACTAAGACCCTGTCCAGAAGAGGCGTTTTAATTTATATTGCGCGTTTTACGCGCGTCCTACGCTGGGAGGGGTTTTGCTAGTTATAAACATGGACTCGAATACAGAGGTTCTGTTATGGCTTGCATACCGTCGATGGAAACGTTGTAAACGAAAAAAAAAGTCGAAACTATATGCGCGTAACAATGTAAAATAGGTGATGGCAATATCTCATCTTGTTTCATTTATTAATATAGCTCTTTTTTATAGGTCTACTATGGCACAAAACGGGGTGTTCAATGGATTGATGTATATATTATTGCTCAATATGTCAGCGCACATCACACGGGAATTGGGAATGGCTCCTGGAGGAGAGTTTCGGCGTGCAATGGCTGAGGTTGTTACTTAGAAAATATATCAAATTAAATAAATGAAAATTATTTAATCCAAATGTGTGAATTTCGAGAGTAATTTATTAGATTTAAATTATATAAATAGTGCAATTACTTGTCAGTTAAATTCATAGATATTTTTTATTTACAGGCGAAAAAGATTCCCAATTGTATCATTCAGTTAGGTGATCGAGCCATTGACGTCACACTTCACAGAGCCATAGCATCACTATCTTGGGGCCAGACCATAAGATTCATTTGGCATCTTCTGACATCCAATCAGACTATAAGGTATTTATAATTACAAAAAATAATAAATTTAACATTTTTGTGGTGTGTACTTTCACAAAAATTCTTATGTTGTAGTGTGGAAGAAGTAGAGAAGTGCAAACAGAAAAAAATGCTGGAAGATATGTTAGAAGAAATGGCGGAAGAATTCCCTGCGCTCAAGCGAGTGTTTGTAGTGGAGAGGGACATGTACCTTTGTTACTCATTGCAGGTGGCCGCCTTGCAAGAACGTAAGGTTCTTTATAAATATAGCTACTTTTAGACTACAAAATTTTATCCGTCGTTTTATGTCTGTAACGTCAAAATTTATTTCGTACCCCAACAGCAAAGCGAATATAAATAAATTAACTCGTATGAAACTTTAAAGAAGATTTTTGATTAATTAGGAATGTATGTAGGTTTCGGTTTTTAGATAAAATGTTTGTTACCAAATCATATTTGTTAATTTAAAGCATTTTTATAGCAAATTTCGTTTTAACAGTTGCTCTTAAATATTTTTAATAAAAATGTTTGTAATAATGAAATGCATAGTTGGTTGCGTTGTACATTCGTGTCTTGCCCTCGCGTTCCTGCAGCAATATTTTTAACTTTTTTAACTATTAACTCTCTGTTAACAGCGCTTTCACGTTGATCTTAAGATCAACGTTCATGAAATTAAAGTTTGCATCGAAGTCGTTTTTTTTTTATTTGAACGTTTGCAATGTTATTAGGGCCTTGTTTTGAATCTCTTAGCAACCGAACACTTTTCCGGGATAAAAAGTATCCCTTGTCTCTATCCAGGTAATAAACTAGCGTGCCAAATTTCATCCAAACGTTGAAAGTTCAGCCGTTTTTTTCGTGATTGAGTAACAAATATACAATCTTTCCAAACTAATATTTTTGAGTACAATTTTAAATAATGCAAATTGCTGGCACCATTATTTAAAAATAGTAAGTAACAGAGCGTCTGCTGATAATGCCTGGGCGTGTGACAGAATTGGAGTTGACTCATCTTCTTCTTGATTATTATCACTTAGGGCACTTGTTCTTGTGTATTATTCACGTTCTCAATAAGATCTTTGATTGATTAAATTTGGTACGATGCCACATTGTCATCAATGTAAGAATATCCAGGAAAACCCTGGGGGTCGCTTACCGTGCATCGCCCGACAGTCGTCACGTAAACTGCTGGCCGCTGCCGCAAGTGGTAATATATATGTGTGATACGTGTTGGCGATTTAGGCGTATTAAACGGGATGACAAATCGTATTAAGCGTTAAGTAATGTATGATAACTTGTCTCAAGTTGCAGCGACTGAAGCAAAATAGCGTATTATGCGAGAAATCGTATGAAGCCTGATCGTATTAAACGGGTTCTACTGCATATGAGATAACATATTTTTTTCTACGTGGGTAGCCAACGACATTAAATACCCTAGATACACCAACACGAACAAAATCGTGCCCGAATCCTGTCCTAAAGGTACATTGAACGATCCACGGAGCTCCGTAAGATGATCGCGTAGTCAAAATCAATATAGGCATTATTTAAATATTGAAAATAACCTTTAAAACATACTGTATAAGGTCTTCAATAAAACGCATGCGTCAAGCACTTCTGACAGTTCGAAATGCAAGTTCGTAAAATTTTTCGACTTATAGCAATAAGCCGTAAAATATTATAGCATATAGCAATATGCGGAAGAATTTCGACTTTAGTTCTTTGACTCTACGCGCAATTCTGAACGCGCTGTTAGCAATATAGCAGGCGCGGACCACGAGGAAAAGAGACGGGTATATGACGACGTATAACCGACCATGCATTTGAATATCACAAATATTTTATATTAAATCAGCTTATAGTAAGTATTACATGAAAATGTACTTCAACTGCGTTAAATTAACAAACATTGACTTGTCGAAAAAAGGACACTTTTCGTACTCTAAGTATTATTTTCTCATTTTTTCGCGGAGCTCTGTGGCATCTTGACTTTGTAACGGCCCGCGCGTGACTGTGAAGCAAGAAGTGCTTGAGTGGAGTTCAAGCACTTCTTGATTGGGAGACATTTTGAGCGCTCGTGGTGTATTTAATATTGTTGTGGGTAGCACTGAAAATGTTTAGAACTGGCAAGTTAGAAACATTGCTAATGAAAACTTTTATTGAATTCCAATTTTAGAACTCTTTGGTAACCTAATGTAGTTATATTGTATTAATTTGTCATTTGTTTTTGTGAATTGGTGGCAAATCTAAAACTCTTGTTACACGTGAAAATGAACCTAACGCGAGAAATTTTTCGGTCAATGATTTATTATGACTGTCGTTGTGGGCTTACTCAACAAAGCTATGATAGGCTGCGATTAGCATTTCTTAATGAAGCCCCATCTCGTGCCGCTGTTTACAATTGGTTTAACGAGTTTAAGCGTGGACGTAGCAATCTCAATGATGATCCGCGTGAGGGACGTCGTTTAACAACGACTACTGAAGATAACATAAGTGCTGTGCGACGCATGATAGAGGAAGATAAGAGAGTGACCTATCAGCAGATATGGGCAAGTCTAGGCATTGGTATGAGTCAAGTTCAAAAAATATTACACGAACATTTAGGCGTCAGGAAGCTTTGTACTAGATGGATGCCCCATACCGACGACCAGAAACACCTTCGCATGGACTGGTGTCGCCAAATGTTAAATAAATTCAACGGTGACTCAGATGCTGTATTTGACATCGTCACAGGTGATGAAAGCTGGATATATTGCTACGAACCCGAAACCAAAAGACAATCAGCTCAGTGGGTGTTTCCTTTCGAGGATAGGCAACTAAGGTAAAGAAAGGAAGAATTCAAGGAAAAAATATGATTGCCTCATTCTTTGGTCGGAAAGGTCATTTCGCGACAGTTGTGGTAGAAGATGGAAGGACAGTTACTGCAGACTGGTATGTCAATCGCTGTTTGCCTGTTGTCTTGGAAAAAATTCGACAGCAACGCACTCGAATCAGGATCCTCCTTCACCACGAAAATGCTTCAGCGCACTCCGCTAAACGGACTGTTGAATATTTGACTATGGCAGGTGTAGAGATAAAGATTCATCCGCCATACAGTCCTGACCTGGCGCCCTGCGACTTTCATTTATTCCCAAGAACTATAGATAACATTCGAGGTATTCGCTTTACGAGCCCTGAAGATGCGGTGAAAGCGTACGAAAATGCCATAGAAGAGACCCCTAAGGCAGAATGGGCGTATTTGTCAGTGGGTCCATCGAATGCGACGATGTGTAGAGAGGAACGGAGATTACTTCGAAAATCAATAAAAGTATTGGCAACTTTCTACATTAAGCCGTTTTTCATTTTCTGAACATTTTCAGTGTTACCTAGGTATATAGCCTAGCCCCAAAGTAAGCACTGTAAGGTTTGTATTATTGGATGCTAAAGTAACGGATTGAATACATATATAAGTATATTTTTTAATAAATATATATAAAAATCCATAACTAAACTACAAATGCTCGTATTCGTATTCATCATCCTAACATTTGCCTACGTCGGGATTCGAACCCTAGTGAGTAGGCGACGCCATGAAACCCGGCTTATCTATCGGCTACACTCGGCTACGGAGGTCATCAAAGTAGTTACATTTAAAGTAGATACAATTTTATTTATTATAATATTCTGTTAACTATATATTATTCTGTTTTCTATTTTAGGTCGGGAGCCATGTCGGGTAGTAGGTGTGGTAGGAATCGGTCACGTCGCCGGAATCGTGGAACATTGGGGCAAAATCAAACAACAGGACATAGCCCCATTGCTGAAGTAAGTAAATAGGATATTATAAACAGTGAATTTTGAGTTACCTGAAATAAATACTAGCGGATTCAGACAACGATTTAGGTTCTATTTCTGCAAAAGTTTTTTTTAGTTTCTCCATATTAACTTTATAATTGTTCAATTATGAACTTCTTAGCAAACCATGGATTCACCGTGTTAACCATAACTTCGCTGTTTGTCAGGCGGCAGGGTAAATGTGCCCCTGTGGCCCAAGCACGAACTCTCAAAACTCCGTAATCGTATCGCATCGTCAAAGTTTCTATTAAAACTAATCACCGTCCCTACCAGACGTAAGAACAAATTGGCTCCTTCCATACAAAATGGGCATTTCTATTCAAGATTCAATTACCGAGCTGTCAAAATTCGTGTTTGGGCCTCTGGCCCCGCCCACTGGCACTTCAAAGAGGCGTGAAGAAGCAGAAGGCCGACAGGGTGAGGATGGCTGGTGTGGCAGGTAGAACTGCTGTATCAGCTATCTTCGCGTCTGGACTTCACCTATCAATAAAAAAAAATAAAAAAACTTCAGCTAAGCAATCTATCAAGCCATGTCGTTTCTCATTTCTGATAACGTTCTCAGAATCCCTCCGGAGTCCCTGTCGACTAGGGTTTTGCGGGCGTCGGTACGAATCGCGTGCGTTGGCCTGTTGGTGTACGCCGGCTACAAGCTGGTGCCGCGCCGCTGGCTGCTCTGATGACTGTCCGGGCCCGCGCAACTGTGGCTCGCCGCGTTGTGGTGAGATATTTAAAGGGGAAGCTACCCAATTATTGGCACTTTTCGAGTATAGTTCAAATCGATATATTGTTTTAAACTTTCATGGTCACTAACATTATAGCTATCAACGGGATTGTTACCATGTACCTTGTTTTTAATGACTCTCCGATATTTCGGCACTTTTGCAAACGCCATCATGGCTCCGTGATGATGACGTGATGACGCCTGCAACAGTGCCGAAATATCGGAGACTCATAAAAAACAATAGTTCAAATCGCATCAAAAATTTTAATGCTCCATATGGGTTAAAGAAACAGTGCTGCCAATTTTCTTTTTATGAATATAGGCTTGAATAGTCTATTGTTATTTACTTGAAACTGGCAATGTAAAAAAAATCGTCGAGCCAAAAAAATCTATGGTTTCCTTGTTTTTTCAAACTGAACTGCGCTGCGATAACACCGCCCTTTGTGCAACTCTAATTGATTTTGCCTTGTTTCGTATTCTGTGTTCTTTATGTAATAGTTGTGGAATATTACCGTATCGTAAACTCAATATCGCTAATAATTGGAAGAGTGCAAATGATTGGGTGATTTACCCTATATACTAATGAATTAGAAATAATATAGAATACGAACTGCACTAAAAAGTGGTTCCACAAAACTGCGATCAAATGGGCGGAACGAAATAATAGGGATGACGACTAACTTTTTTTCTTCGTCTAAATGTCGCATGACGTCACGTTTTGGTACAATTTTAACTTGAAAGTGACGTCATGAGCCCCCACTCCCAAACTTTGACGCGCTTTATCTTTGTCATTTTCTGGTTGACAGACCAAAGAAAAATACGTGTCCATTTTTTGGTTGACAGACCAAAGAAAAAATACGTGTCTATTATGTTTTGAAAATGTAACTTCCAGACTAAATACAATTTCGTTTACTTTAACCCGTCGTCACCACTATTGCGATCAATAAGCCGATCATGGGATTAGTTGGGATTTTCGTTAAATATCATCTTACCAAATTAGTTAAAGTATTTTCTTTTGTCTTTGTGCGTATCACGAAGTGAAGTTCAGGAATGAAGTTTAGCTGTATGAGTTTGGAACCATGTTTAAGTATCCTTTTAGTTGCTCAAACCTTTATTACCTGCTACCTGCACCTAAAAAAATGGGAACCCTTTTTCGATCACTTTGTTGTCTGCCCCCTATGTTCATTTCTCATCATAATCAGCCTTTTAATGCCCCCCACTGCTGAGCCACAGGCCTTCCCTACGGAGGGGGGGACGAAGTAGAGGGCATATATGTATACGGGTAGGTAATCTATACATACCTGTAATAAAATGGTAGGAAAGTCAAAACTGTACATTGAATATTGTTTTAAAAGAATACTTGAGGGGTGTGATCTGCAATCGATACCGAAGCCAAAAAAAATAGTTTTTAGAATTTTTGTCTGTTTACCTGTATGTATGTCCGGTATAAACTCAAAAAGTACTGCATGGATTTACTTCAAATTTGGCACGAATATTGTAAAGAAGTCGGGTCAACATATAGGCTACATATTATCACGCTATCACCTACGGGGAATGAGCAGTGAACCTTTATTTCTAACTAACTGCACTCGTATGAAGTCGCGAGCGGCCGCTAGTGCATAATATGTTAAAAATCATTCATTCAATTCAATGTTTAAGTTTGTAATGTATAATGTGCTATAAATACTCTATTGTTATTTAAAGATTATGTTTAAAGTACTGTTTTTGTTAGGTTATGCTTTGAATAAGTAGGTAAAATTCGCGCCAATAAAAACGCAATTGGAAAATGACGGCACAAGTCATTATGTCCCTCTTTAACAGTCCGGCTCCGGATACGGTCAGAAATAATTTGCGAGAGGGATGGAATATCATGCGTCGCCATTCTTGATTAGTTTCTTTATTCTAACGAGTTTATGGTGTAAATATTTTGGTTTCAGGATTATTCTCGCTCTCATTTTTAGGAAGACTAAAAAGCATCAGGGTTAATAGATGGATTCCGAAGCATATTAAAATAGATATAGAGACTTTTTATAATATACTTACTTATTATATAGTAATATACAATATTAAGTTTGAATGTGTTGAACACAAATGCTCAATTTATTGCAGTATTCGTCCATATCCGCGGTATTTTTTGTAGTGTCAAATGTAATATTGAATAAGTAAGCGTCCTGCGGTAGAACGTTCTTTATAGAACCTGCGAACAACTATTCGTTCGGATCGCGAGTCCAGTCCCTAAATATATTTTATTGCTTTCATTCATATCAAAATAGAATTCAATTATGACGATATTGCACATCATCATCATGAATTAAACGCACTATACTCTGTTCACGGAAGCGAGTAAGTGGAGCGAGCACTTTCTTTATCACGCTATTGCTTACAAAACACACTTACACGCACTTATTTACGTTTACATTTTCGGATGGGAGTTGAAGGCAGAGAGATCGGAGCGCCATAAAGTACCGCCATACACACATTATTCGCTTCTTTTGCAATCATAAATTCTATTTAAATACGCATTTTCGCGGCGTCTAACGTCAAACACCTTCAGAATGTAATCAATTTGATTGTGATAGGAGAGTCTTGGCTTTCCTCTATCTAGGCTAATTGGTGTGTTGTTATTCTCTCATTTGACATTCTTTTCATATCTTTTCTTTTTCGATAACACTGAGCAGCATACCTATTAAAAGCCTAGAGTCGGCGTCAGTACTCTTGTCAATCACAAACGAAATAATCGTCGGTATTTGCTTTTTTCCGTGAATAGAATAAAATTATGAGTCGACTGACGCACTCGTATAATAGCTATCGTACCTATAGTCCATTAAATGTTCAATGACGCGCGAATTTGTCACAATTATGCGGGAAAAAGAACTACTGTAACCACTATTATAAAAAAATATTAGATTAGACAGACGACTTACACGATTAAAAGTCGATGTTTAGTTTCATCTATAAATCCGCGGATATTGTTACTCTGTTATACATTTCAGTATCGAATAAATACACAACAGCTCTTCAGGTTATTACAGAACCTAAAAACGTTTGATTGAGTATTAGGGTGTGTTTCCACAGAAGCGGTGCTGCGCGGATTTTAATTGAAAGGCGAAGGACGATGATTTGCTTTTTTTCTAGCAGCAGTTTTTCTTTAGATATAAAAATGATAAAACTGTCAAAATTCTTTAACAATTTTCCACCTTACTGTGGTCCAAAATAGTTTTTTAAAATTCGATATTTTGTTGTATTCTGAAGAGCTGTTATCGATACTATAGATAGTGTTTTACGATTTTATATTTAATATCATAGTCGTAATTATAATAATTACATAAACATAATATGCTATATTATTAATGGTTGGACTCTGGCATGATTCTCTAAACCTAAAAACAAAAAAAAATTGACAACAGTGTATCCTTGTCATTCTCTATACAGAATGAAAAGGAGAGACTGATGTTACATTTAGTTTTAAGTTTAGAGAATCATGCTTGAATCGACACCAATATTTGTGAAAAGAATTTTATAATTGTCTTCTTTAGAATGTAGATACACTTGAGTTAGGAGAAAATTATGCCCCTTAAGTGCTATTGAAGGCATTTCAGAACATTCATTATAATTATGACAATGTTGTATTACACTGAAAAAAATTGGGATGTCTTATGAGTTTTATTATGCAAAATGTATCATTTATTTTGTGAGAGTTTATTTGTTTTAGTGAGCTATTAATTTTTTTATTTTTGTTTAAATATATCCTAGTTTGGAATAGGAAAAGTAATGTTTATTTGCCTGAAATTATGGAATTCAATACGACTATCATAATAATATATTTATGTTATTATAATAGTACTGACACTATGACTATGAAAATATAAGTTTGTATATTTCGGTAATCATAGCTTAAAATGGTTTTCCTAATTATTTCAAATAATAAATACAATCGCCGTTTCTATCATTTTATTAAACAAAACAATAGATTTTAAATTGTATGTCTTCATATTTCTGAATTTCCATTGCAGTAAGTGCCTTTTCATACCGGGCAGTGACCGGCAGCGGCGAGCACTTTTACATTGAAAAATATGTAAAATAATTTTAAACTTTATTTATATACTTTGAAGAACAGTATATCTTGTAAAGGGCGATATACTGCTCTTTTAAGTGTGTAGATAAAGTTTAAAATTATTTCATACCGCTTTCAGTGAAAAAGTGCTCTCCTGTCGCTACCATTCCGGCGTGAATAAACCTCAAGTCTCGTAGTACTGCAAAAGATCGAAATGGCCATTTCAATCTTTCGCTCGATTTCGCTCGGCCGTATCGATTTTGTAATGTAAAGTGGTAATTTATTTCATAATTGTAATATTGATGTTTTGTTATTATAATTATATTTTTAGTACCATCGTCGTCAGGAATTTGTTTTGTTTTATTGTGATCGTCAGGAATTTGTTTTGTTTTATTGTGATAAATTATTGTAATGTCTGTGATTTTTTATCCGATTACAATTTATTATTCTTTAATTTGATTTCTATATTACTCTTGTTTTGGGTTTTCTAATCCAAAGGGAGTTCTGTTTTCCGTCTGTTTGTCTGTAAGCGGCTGAATCTCATGAACCGTAATTGGTAAACATAAAATAAAATATATGCCACAATAAAAAGTGAGAAAAAGAGAAATGAAGGCGCCGTACAAACAATAACGGGGGCGCAAACAGGGCGCGGACATAATCGATACCTCGGGGCTCAAAGGGCGTAATGCTAAAATATCCTTTACGCCTTTTGAGTCTGGTGTAACGCCAATATATGTCTCTTCCGCATCCCTTTCATACAAAAAGTATAAGCGTCGCAAAACATATAGATAAGACAGGGTGCGGATACGACACTTCTTCATTTTGTATGAAACTGACAATATCCGTGCTCCGTCTGCGTCTTAAGGCTATTCCGTGTATCCCGCGCTTTAAATGTTAAATCT